TTAAGTTCTCAATTGCTGAAGCCAATGGCCATGGGGTCTCCGTGTTCACGCGCCCCAGACCACTGCTCAGCGCTGACAGCATCCACCCCTGCCTCTTGCTCTTCTTCCTCCTCGTCCAGAAACCCGTGGACTTTCTTGACTTTGCTCATACTGAGCACGCCATCCAGTGCTTTACCAGGTCTAATAAAATCAAACATCCTGCATATCTCCAGTCCCGCCCCTCCTCAGCCCTCCGCCCTCGCGTGTCCAGGCTAGCTCCGCCAAGGCCTGGGCCTCCTGGGAGCTGCCGGTGCCATGGCCGCCTCCCACACTGCCTCGCTCCCTTTAATATCTTTATGGAGATGTAAATCACACCGTAGCATTTACCCAATAAAGCACACAATTCAGCGGCTGGTCGTGTATTCCCGGAGCTCCATGGCTGTCACCTTCACTCAGCTAGACCATTTTTATGAGGGGCCCCCAAATGAACCTCGTAACAGACAGCCAGTGCGCCCCATTCTTCGCCCTCCCCACTTGAATACTGATTTACGTTTTGTTCTCTTGAGTAGTTTTTAGGGAGACAGTTCACATACCACCCAAGTCCTCCCATTTCAACCGGTCAGTTCATCGACCCCTGCTTGTCCATCCACGTGCAGCCGTCTCCACCAGCAGCTTGGGGAGATGGTCAGCATCCCCCAAGGAAATGCCGTGGCCATGTGCGCCCTAGTCCCCATCTCCTGCACGCCTTGGCCTTAGGCAGCCGCTGCTGTCCCTGGAGCTTTGCCTGTCGATGGTTCCCATATAATAGTGAGGGTCTGGGGCTTTCCCTGGTGGTGCAGGTGGTTGTGCGCCGCTCTGTGAAGCTGTCCGCAGCCTCTGCAGCGCCGGTTCGATCCTGGCCGACCGGCGCGGGTCCCACATGGCGCACAGACCTCTCCTGTCTCGCCTGCTGCTCCCCTCAGCAACATGTTTCGTCAGTCTGCCTGTTCTGCTCCCTGCTCTGTCCCTGGTGAATCCTCTCACCCTCCTGCACATCTGGCCTGTACCCCGGTTCTTGTATAAATAATTAAATAAATCTTTAAAAAAGAAAAAAAAACCAGTGATAGTCTGTCGACTTTGGTACTGGCTTCTCTCCACTCTGCGTGCTATTTTCAAGCTTCATTCAACCGGCTTTTTATTGCTAAATAATAGTTCACTGTATGAACAGCCCAGTGTGTGGATATCTTTGGCCATTTAACTTGAGGACTTTGGGGTTGTTTATCCTTAGCTATTATGAACAATGGGAAAATGCTGCTGAAGGTGGACATTCGTCTGCAAGTTTTTGCATAGAAATATGTTTTTATTTTCTTGGAAGCTGGTGAAGACTTGCTAGACCGTGTGGTAGCGCTATGCTTAGCAGTTTGAGGAGCTGCTGAATGGTTTTCCGGAGTGCCTGACCCAGCTTCCACTCTCTCCAGCTCACCCACAGTTGATTTTGGGTATTTCTCTGTGGTCCTGGTTTGCATTTCCAGAGTGCCTTAGAGAGCTGTACATCTTTCCATGCGCTTTTGGCCATGTAATAACTTCTAAAGAGAAAGCCTACTCAAATCCTTTTTTTTAAAAAAAAAAAATGAGGTTATTGTCTTATTGCTGAACTGAAAGAATATATATTTTGGATACAAGTTGCTTGTCGGATTAAAAAAAATTCCATTTCATGCGTTGCATTTTCATTTTCTTCATGGAATTTTTGTGCATAGCAACGGTTGATTTAGTCCAATTTGTCTGTTTTCTCTCATCTGACCTCTTGGTTTCTTATCTAAGAATTCATTACATAGTCTGACCATGAAATTTCTTACTTCCATTAAGTGTTTTACGGTTTTAGCTCATGCATGTGGGTTTCTCATCCATTCCCAGCTTATGTTTGTGTATGGCAAGAAGTGTGAGGTCCCGCTGTATTTTTTGTTGTGCATATTTAGTTGTGACTATACCATTTGTTACGTAGATTATTTGAAAAACATGGGCAGTAATTCATGTCTGGATGTTCAGTTTGGTTTCATTGATCTTTACATCATCCTTTAAGCCAGTACCACACAGTCTTGAATTCTATAGCTTTGCAGTGAATTTTGAAGTGAGGACATGTCTGTTTGTTCTTCTTTCTAAATATGATTCTGGCCACGGAGCATGTGGATTTCCATATAGATTGTAGGATTAGCTTGTTCACTTCTGCAAAGAAGCCAGCTGGGGTTTCTTTAAGTCTATAGATCAATTTGGGGGAATTATTGTCATCTTAACAGTATTAGATCCTCCTATCGATGAGCATTGGGTTTACATTTATTTAGGTTTAAGAAAAAATTATTTCAACAATATTTTGCAGTTTTCAGTGTACAAAGCTAGCTCTTATTTTGCTATTTTTTTCCTAAGTATGTAATTCTTTCTGATGTCACTAAATGGAATTGTTTTCTTCATTTCATTTCTGGACTGCTTCTTGCTATGTTAGTATATTAATCTTGTGTCCTACAACCTTGCTAAACTTGTTTATTTGTTCAAATAACCTATTTTGTGGATTCTTTGTGATTTTCCACATAAACTATTATGCCATCTGTGAATAGAGATTGCTTTGGCTTTTCCATTCCAATCCAAATATCACTCATTTATATTTCTTACATAACTGTCCTGGCTAGAACCTCAAATACAGTGTTGGCTAGAAGTGCAGAGAGTAGACATCCTTGTCTTGTGAGTGTTTCTGTCATTCAGGTGTGTTGAATACGTCTGTGAAATATTTTTGTTGATGTGTTCAAATGATTGTTTTTTTTTTTTTTTTTTTTTTTCCTGATTATGGTACCAAATTAACTGATTTTCTTTCAGATGTTGAACTAACTTCACAATTCTACTATAAATTTCACTTGGTTCTTACACACGTTCCTTCTATTGTTCATGTGGCTTGGTTTATGCTGCTGGATTTGGCTTCTCAATATTTTTGAGAGCTTTGGCAGCTCTAGTCAGAAAGGGTCTCATCTACAGTTTTCTTATGCTGTCTTCATCACATGTTCAGGCTGTGCTCAGCTTCGCAGGATGAGTTAGGAGTCATTACCACTCTTTTTTGTTTGTTTGTTTGTTTGTTTGTTTTTTGGCAGTTTGTGAAGGATTAGCACTGCTTATTTTTTTGTAGAATTCACCATGAAGGTCCTGTCGACACAGACTTTCCCTTAAATGCCACATTTTGAGTACTAATTTAGTTTTGTTACTTATCTGTTAAGATTCCTCTTTCTTCTTAAGACAAAGTTGGTAGTTTGTGTCTTTCTAGGAATTTATCCATGTCCACATCCGTGTGTCCCCTTTGTTGGCTGCTGACTCTCATTGCCCTTTCTTAAAATCTTTTTCTGTTTTTTCAAAGTCCAGTTGATTTTCTATTTTTGATTCTTGATCAGTCTGGCTGAAAAGTTTTTCAGTTTTGTTAAAATTTTTCCTAGTTTTTTTTAATTTTTGCTTAGAAGAACTGGGGTATAGGCCAGAGGTATGGGGGGGTGAGAGGATTCACCAGAGACAGAGGTATGGGGTGGGGTGACAGGCTTCACCAGAGGAGCAGAACAGGCGGATCTACTGAAATCCACTGCTGAGGGGAGCAGCGAGGAGACAGGAGAGGTCTGCTGCACCCTGTGGGTCATCTCCCTTGCTGGGGATCCAACTCAGGCTGTAGGGGTGATAGTGCTGAGACTTAACCCTTAGTCACCAGGGAGGCCCCAGTTTTGTTAATCTTATAACCACTTTGGATTTAATTGAATTGTCTTTCTTTTATTTTTGGCCTAATTTTCACTATATTTTTCCTTCAACTTACCTTGGGTTCACCCTGTTTTTCCTTTTCTAACTGCAAAAGTTAATTTATTGATACAGAAGGTCTCATTTTAAAAATACAGGCATTAAAGCTCTGTGTTTCCCTTTGCATGTCCCTCATGTGCCTCCCGCACAGTTTGGTGTGTTGTGTTTTCAATTTGATTCATTGCAGGCTGTTTTCTGTTATCTCTGTGGGTTTCTGGTTTGATCCGATAGTTATTTGGATTATGTCCTCTCACTCTGCATGTTTGTGAGCCTCACATATTTCCTGCGTCACTAGACTTCTCATCATGGCTGGGAATGGACTTGTTTGGTCTCAGCCTTTTCCCAGTCACAGGGGTTGTGTTCTGGCCCCACAGGTGGTCTCCTTAGCAAGCCCCTCATGCTCTTGAGAAGCAGGTGTGTTTGGGGTCTCATATTTTATTGATCCCGCTTTTAAAGTCTTATGTTATCTATCTCTATACACTAGGAATGGCCTTTCCAAAACACAGACCTCAGTATGCAGCTTACCGCCTTAAACCTTAAGTGCCTTTCAGTGTACTCATAATTCTAGACATGTAAAGTGATATTCAAAATGACTTAAAATGGGAGATTTGGCTTCTGTTTTCCCTTCCGCTTTAGTCCCCACAGTGGAGGTAGCTGATGTCCTTTTTGATCATTTATACCTGGACTTCCCTCTATTATAAAAAAGAAGACACTTTTATTTATTTATTGCACATCTTTCTTGATGCACACTGAATGGAGTTGGGGATATTAAGGAGAGGGTAAGAATCAAGGACGTCTCCCCAAGCCTCTCAGTTGGGTATTTGTATGTCATGTAAGATATGAAGAGAAGCTGCATTCAGTTTTGGAAATGTTGAATTTTGGTGTGTTTTTCTGTTCCTTGCGTATTGTGGTGTCGATGGTGACCCTTGAACTGTGTTATGAGTGACAATGTCACGTGTCAGCTCTGGGGAATATTTTAAACTATTCTACTTGGAAAATGTCAGGGGAAGATGTGATGGCCACTTAGAGAAGATTTTAGTTTGGGGGAAAGACTGTGTTTCTCTTGCCTTTTTAACAATTTATTGACATACTTTCATTTTAGCAAATTGAAATCTTGTTGTATGCTCCTCACCCTCTTCTCTGTAAACGTTTGTTTGCTTCTTGTCCTAAAGATCTCCTTCTTTTTCCCATGAGGTGACTTATGCCATCTTCTGTCTTTTCTGTAGGACTATAATGATGAAATCCGGCAAGCGCAACTCCAGGAATTAACATATTTGAACGGTGGTTCAGAAAACGCGGACGTGCCAGTGGTTCGTGGGAAGGCCGCCTTGCGCACACGAGGGGCGCCAACCCCCGCCGTCACCAGGTTGGTGCTGTTAACTCAGTTGTTATTTTGTTTGTTAGGGAAGGGTGCCATGGCAGCAGTGCTCCTGTCTTCTTTATTAGTAGCCTAACAGCTTTCTCAGTGTTTGAATACAGAGCCTGCAAAAAGTGCTCAGATAATTTGATGCCTTATTCAGAGGCCCCACGTTGGACTGATGATTCTGTGCTTGCTAGCTCAGGGCTTCAGATAAGTTTACTTCATCCGTCATTAATTTCTTCAGCTTTAAACTGAGGCTAGTTTTTTTTTTTTTTGAAGATTTTATTTATTTATGCATACAAGAACTGGGGTACGGGCCAGAGGCGTGGGGGGTGAGAGGATTCACCAGAGACAGAGCGGGGAGCAGAACAGGCAGACTGACTGAAATACACTGCTGAGGGGAGCAGTGGGGAGACAGGAGAGGTCTGCTGCGCCGTGTGCATAGCTCCCTGGCCAGGGATCCAACTCGTGCTTCAGAGGCTGCGAATAGCTTTATAGGCCTCCCTTGTGCCACCAGGGAGGCCCTGGAGCTAGCTGTGATGGAAGTAATAGAATTGGTATGCAAGTCAAGGTCTTGGGAACAAGTGTCTCCCCACTGAGAAGTAGGCCCCTCCCTGCTGCCTCTCCTGTGCTCAGCACTAAGTCAGGTGCCCGGTGGGCCTCCAGGTGCCTGCTATCCTTTCCTGCCCATAAATCCAGTGCTGCCTGAAAATCCCTGAGCTGACACAGACCCACAAAATTTTTATTTTGTTCCTTGGATTCATGACTACTTGTAATATGAAAAACAGTTTAATGAATTCATGTCATTTTAAGCAAAGCATAAATTGAGATGTGACTGTCAAATTTATTTGAGAATTATTTTTAATTTCTAAACTTTGCTCCAAAGAACCTTGGTGGCAAGAAGTAAAACAAAATTTTCTCTATTAAAAAAAAAAGTGAGGGCCTTCCTGGTGGCACAGCGAGTTGAGCGCAGTGCTGTGAAGCAAACCACAGCCTCTGCAGTGTGGGTTTGATTCCCAGCCAGCCAGGGAGCAACCCACATGGTGCAGCAGACCTCTCCTGTCTCCCCATTGCTCCCCTCAGCAGTGTATTTCAGTCAGTCTGCCTGTTCTGTTCCCTGCTCTGTCTCTGGTGAATCCTCTCACCTCCCGCACATGCCTCTGACCTGTACCTCAGCTCTTGTATAAAAATAAATAAATCTTAAAAAAAAGTGAATCATTATAGGATTGCTATTATGATTTAATGCAATAATGTATGTAGATGTTCAGTAAATGATAAAACTTTTATTTCCATTTCTCCTACCATTATATTTACTTGAAATCATGATAAATACTCGCTATATTAGTTTCCTGTGGCTGCTGTAATAAATTACCACAAATTTGATAGCTTTAAACAATAGAAATTTATCACAGTTCTGGTGACAAGGTGCTTAAAATCAATATTACTTACTAGACCAAATTCACCTTTCTGGCGGTGCTCCCTCTGGGGGCCGGAGGGGTGAATCCTGGACCCTCCTGCATGCCCTGGCTTGTGGCTGCACCCCTGTGGCTCCTCCCCCAGCTTGTGACCTTGGCCTCCCAGCCCCTCATCTCCTAGCTTGCCTCCTGTAAAGACACCTGTGCCTGTACTGACAGCTCCCTGCATCATGAGGCCTGACTTCCCATGTCCAGGCTCTCACCCCAGGGACCACATCTGTGAAGGCCCTTCTCCGGGGTGAAAGGTGGCGTTGCAGACTGGGGTCCTTGACAGCGTGGAGAATTGCGCACGCCCTGCCCCGTCGTGAGGGCTGCCCTGTTATCAGAACCACACCTCCCATTGTTACTGAACTTCATTTCTAATTTAGTGGCCAGGTTTTAAATTACATTGAAAACGTGATGGACACACGCAGGAGGCAGAAAGTTTTCTGAGTTTTATAGAAATATCTTGGGCTGCCCAGATGAGAAATGATTCCTCTGATCACACTGCAGACATTGCTTCTCATTTACAGCTTTTCTGTTGTCTGGCGGCTGGCGGCCTCTGGCAGGGTGGTCGTTAAGTCCACGTTTCGGACCCCGCGCGGTGGCCTGCATCTCTGGCCTTTCCAGGCTCGGGCACGTGTGTGGGCTGGGCATCCTGGTGCAGGGGCTTCAGCTCCTTGGTCTCCACGAATGAAGTTCACATTCCCAGAGGCGTTAAGGAAGCCCTTTGTTTGTTCTTCTTAAAGCCAGTCTCTTGTCTTGTCTTGTCTCGTCTTTAATCTCGACTTTGCCACGTTCCCTGTGCTTCACCCTGGGCAGGAGCTGCTTGTTCACTGGGTCTGCACCCCCGCGCCCAGGCCACCGTGCCCTCGCTGTCCGTCCCCTCCCTCGCCTGTCCGAGCCCTGCTTCCCTCTCGCCCCAACCGAAGCTTACACGGGACAGATACATCGCAGGGACTGTTGACAGGGTGCTTGACAGACGCTGATAACTTAAGTCTCACAGCCGCCTGGGAGGAGACCCTACTCTGTTAACCCCCCCATTTCACACGCAGACCACGCAGGGAAGGGCCAGGATGGAAGTGGAGGCCACAGCGGGGCTCCCAGCGGGCTCACCCGGCTTTGCTGGCTGGGCGGTCCTGGGCCAGGCCCGGCTGGGCTTCCAGCCAGCAGAGCCGCCCCCTTCACTCCCGCCTGCAGAGCAGCTGCCTTGTCCTGTGCTGCGTGCCGTGGCTTTGTTCTGCCTTGGTCTCGAACAGAAGACGGTCTTGCCTCCCTGCCTTTGATACCAGAGACAGCTGGAAGAGAACATGCTCTCCCGCGTGGGCCAAGCCAGTGGTTCTGTGCAGACCTGGGCCCCGGCGACCTGCGCTCAGGCCTCTCCTCAGCTCTGAGCACATGGGGGTGTTTTCACCTGCTGTTTCTTTAAACACTTGAGTTGCCCTTTCGTAGCTTCTCTCCCCAGGGCCGCAACCACTCCTGTTAGACCTGAGGCCTGCCCTGCCCAGCCCAGCGTGGGTGTGGGGCTGCAGCACACTCCGGGGCGTGGGCAGGTTAAGATCATGGGCCTGCATTGTCGTCCCCCCAGACACTTGCCAGCTCTCAGCTGAGGAGGGGCTTGTGGGGCCGCACTAAACTCTGCCCCGCAGGAGCTCATGTTTTGGAGCGCCATGAACTGGCGCTTCAGCCGGGCCTGCGATGAACAGCAGGTCCTGCCTGGACACCAGTGCTGATGCGGGCCGCCAGGACGGGGGACCACCACAGTCACTGAGGTGGGCTGCAGAGCCCGGGCTGCAAGGAGCACCTGCGTGGCCTGCTCCACTCACCGCGGAGTGCTGGTGCGGCCGGTCGAGCAGCAGACAGTTGTGCAGGAGAAGAGTAGGGCGTTCTTGCATGTTCCATGGTGATGCCGTGGGCTCTCCAGTGGTCTCCAGGGACAGTTGCTGCTGCTGCATGGCCGAGTGTGACTCCCGAGCTGGCCACACTCCCCCCTGGACTCACCTGCAGCATCGCACGTGCCTTGGTTGCTGATTCCATTGTGCGGAGAGCAGACCCAGAGGTGCCATTCCAGAAAGCAGGATCGGGCCTTGTTAGTAGTGATCAAGGTATTCTCATATCAAAGGCAAAGGAAAAGCCTGCTAGCACTGAGGGCCCGGAGGCGGCCATGGCCTCCTGAGGGCATCTGCTCAAGGGAAGGCGGCTCAAGGCCAGGCCTCCTGCTGTCTGCTCTCAGCTGAGAACCAGCTCCCGTCTGTTCATGAAGCCATCCTGCCTTGGGTTTCTTCATCGCCCTACAGTCCCGGATGACAAACATTTGCTTCATCGGCTCTTCCCATTGCCCCGAGGATGGGATGGACCAAGGGGTGCAGCAGGCTTCCCGGCTGGCCAGGGGCTTCTAGGCCCGACCTATAGCGCTCCGTGGAAATGCAGCGTGGCTGCCTGGGCCTGCGCCTCCAGCTGCCTGTTCCTGCCTCCCGGCTGACGCGGACATGCATTGAAATGTGAGGCACATCTGACCCTCTGTTCGGACGTGTCTGCATCGTCGGCTCTGACCGCTGCTCCTGTGGGGGAGGCCGTGCCCCTGCACGCTGTCTCCTGTTCCATGTTCCTCTCGGCGGCAGCAGCACCTCTCAGGTTCCACTTTATCTTGAAGCTCGCACCCTTTCGGGGGTGAAGGAAAGCCGTCTGGTGTATCTGGGATGCCACGGGAAGGACGCATGCCCTCTGGGGGCCACGCATCAGACCTGGCCTCGCACGGCACGGCCGCTGTCCACCTCATGCTGGGGCCCAAGGCCCAGGGCTCGGCTGCACTCGCCACGGTCCCAGGGAATGGCGCCTGAGCTGGCTGCTGCCCCCAGCCTTTCTTCCCCCACACATTTTACTATCATAAAACTTGTAGGTAGGAGTCAAGCCATGCAGTGCGTGTTTACTTTGCCCTTGCAGGCTGCGATGCTGTGACCACTGGTGTAAACGAGAAGCTGGGGCTCTGCCCTCTATCTCCTCTCCAGCAAGCAGCCCCGAGGGAGCAGGGCCGAGCAGGGTCTGCTTACTAACCAGCACCCAGTGCCTGTTCCTGCTCCGCGTGCTCCCCTCGTGTGAGCCTCACAACTCTCCTGTGGAGGTGGCTGCTGTGCACCCCTCTTCGAGACGGGAAAACAGACTGCATCGTTTACATGTATTACATGTACGATTGTATATATAAAATCACACACATGAGACTATATTATATGCATGTTCATTAGAGACATTTAGATTTATATGTGACTTATATACCATATGCAATTTTAGTCATGCAGACCCTTGTGCATATAAAACATGTTTGCACGCACTAGAATTCCCTTTGTGCCATAAAGTCCTATTGGCTTTGACAAGGGCTTTGTGTCATGCAGCCACTTTTTTAATACCACGCAGATTCATTTCATGTCCCTAGAACAGCCCCTCGCCTCGCCGTTTCAGACCCCCTCCCCTGCCTCTGTGCCTGCTCTGTTCTGCTCCTCTGTGCCGTTTCTGTTCTGGTTTGTGTCTGTTGCTTACCCGCCTCTGTGTGTTCCGTTCTCTTGTCTGTCTGGCGTCATGACTGGAGTCACGAGCAGCGGCCCCTTCAGGCTGGCTCGCCTCACTTAGCGACATGTGTCTAGATCCAGCCTCTCCTCTCTGTGGGTCGCGAGCTCGGGTTCTTTATTGCTGAGTCGTATTCCTCTGTGAGGATGTGCCTGCTTCGCTTGTCCACTCACGCTGAAAGGCACCTGGGTGGTTTTAGTGACCGTGAACTAAGCTGCTGTAGACGCCCATGTGTAGGTTTTGTTTCGGGGCTGGTTCCAGGTCAGCTGGGCAGCTGCGTGAGGATGCAGCGGCCGAAGCCCGGGCAAAGCCCCATCTGGCTTTGCAAGAAATGCCACGTGGTCTTCCTGCTTCCCAGGCCGCCACGAAGAAGGGTCCTTTGTTCTGATCGAACTCATTTTGGTAGGAATGCTTTAGTTAGTAATTTCCTCACGGCAGATGATAGGACTGTCATTTCCTTTGGTTATGTGCCATCTGTACATCTTTGTTGGTGAACTGTCTGTCCAAATCTTTTACACATTTTTAATTGCATTGTTTTCTTTACTGAGATTTGAAAGTTCTTTGTACATCTCGGGTGTTCATCAGACGTGTGTTTTTCAAAGATTTCTCCCTTTCTGTGGCTTGTCTCTTCATCTCTTGACAGTGTCCTCCTCAGAGCAGAAGTCTTTAATTTTAATAAGGTCCACATTATTAATTTTTATTTCATGGATTATGATTTTCATCTTGCGTCGAAAGCCTCATCAATTCAAGGTCACATAGATTTATCCCTTGTTTTCTTCTGTTTTAATCTTACATTAAGGTGTAAAATCCATTCTAAGTTAATTTTTCTGAAAGATGTCAGGGCTGCATCTAGGTATTTTTTTAGCACGTGGGTGTCCATTTGTTCCAACACCCTTTGTCGAAAAGACTGTCTTCTCTCCATCGAATTCTCTTTGTTCCTTTGTCAGTGATCACTTGACTACATTTCTGTGGATCAATTTCCAGGCTCTTTATTTTGTTCCATTGATCTGAGCGTCTATTCTTTTGCCAATACTCACTGTCTTGATTACCGTCACTTGATGCTAAGTCGTGAAGTCAGGTGCGATGAGTCCCCTCCATTTTTATTCTCCAGCGTCCTCCGTATTGAGTCTTTTGCCTTTTCATCTGTTCTTTCGAATTTGCCAGCCTATGAAATAGCCAGCAGGGACTGGGACTGGGATGGCGTGGACAACTTCTCCTTAGAGTTCTGCCAGTGGAGTTGTGTATTCCTCGCCATAGTTTCTGTGCGTGCTGTTTCTGACTTGTACCAAAGCATTTAATTTCTTTTTTTTTTTAAAGAGGCACGTATTTTTATTTATTTGTTTATTTGTTTGTTTGTTTGTTTGTTTGTTTATACAAGCACTGGGTACAGTCAGAAGCGCGGGAGGGTGAGAGAATTCACCAGAGCCAGAGCGGGGAGCAGAGCAGGCAGAAGGACCGAAGGACACTGCTGAGGGGAGCAGCGGGCGGCAGGAGAGGTCTGCGCGCCATGTGGGACCCTCCTCCGGTGGCCGGGGAGCAGCCGGGGATCGAACCAGTGCTGGCAGCGGGCAGCTTCGCAACCCAGCTCTCAACCGCTGCAACACCGGGGAGGCCCCTCCTTGGGAATTTTTACATGGAAATGATGGCATCTGCCAGCAGCCTTTTTTGTCTTCGTCCATGCAATTCTCTCAGCCTAATTTCTTGAATCAGGGAGGATTTCCAGTGTAATTTGAGTGGGAGCAATGAAAGCAGAGAGCCTTGCTCTGTTCCTACCCTTAGGTGCAAAGCCTTCTGGGTCACACAATGTATTAGTGGTAGGCTTTGAGCACATTCCCATCTATTGCTAGTTTGCTGATAGTGCTAGAGGGTGTTGCGTTCTGTCATGTGCTGCTCAAAACATAGATTTTTCTTCTTGAACCTTGTTGAGGCTGTGGCACACACTGGTTTTCTAATGTTGAATCGTCCCTATAACCTGGAAGAAATGTCACTTGGTGGCGGTGTATAATTTTAAGTATATACTTGGATTCAACTTGCTAATGTTTTTGAGGATTTTTGAACCTATGTTGTTGAGCGATATCAACCTGCGATTTTGTTTTGTTTCTAATTGTATGTCTTTGGTTATTAGGGGAACTGTTTTGTCCCCTCATGAACCTCATTCTGGGGAGGTGAGAGAGCAAGTGGCCAGCCCCAAGGCACCCTCCCAAGGTTCCCTCTCCGCCTACAAGCCACCAGCCAGTGTGGCTCCCAGGGAGGACTCAGAGAAACCTCCTGGGAGGTGGCTCCTCCTGCAGGCCCCATGGGCCCATCACTTGGCCTCTCCTGGGGCTCCTAGGCCTCTTCCACCTCCCAACTAGTGATGCAGACAAGATTTTGGGAGGCTCTTCCATGACCTGCCTCTCAGATTGATATAGGCAGTGACCCCTCTGCGTGTGTTTTCTGGAAGATACTGTGAGAACTGATGCCACTTCTGTACTGTTTGATAGACTTCCCCAGTGATGCCGTCTGGGCCTGGTGCCTTCTTCCTGTAGATTATTGGTAACTATCTGTAATAGACACGTTTATTCAGATTACTTATTTGCCCTTGTGTGAGCTTTGGTCCTCTGTCCTCAGAGATTTAGTTCCCTTCACCTGACTTAGCAAATCTATAGGCTTCTGGCCGTTGGCGATCGTCCTTCCTTGTCCTTTCATGTCCTGGAGAGCAGTGGCGAGGGCCTGCCCCTTCCATATTGCTTTTTTTTTTTCCCTTGTTTAGTCTTTCTAGAGGTTTATCAATGTTATTGATCTTTTCAAACAACAAAATTTTGGTTTTGCAAATTTCCTGGGTTTTTTGGTCAATAAAGTTTTATTGGAACGGAGTCACGTTCATTAAGTTACATTAATGTCCACGGCTGCTTGCACAGTTCAACGGCACAGATGTCACAAAGATCTTATGTCCTGTGGAGGCTAAAGTATTTCCTGTCTGGTCCTTTTTCTCTGTGGTTTTGGACGTTAAGCTTTTAGCTCCATGTTTGCTATCCCAGTTGAACTAAAGAACTTGATAACCCAGGCGCAAGCAACCCCAGGGCCTGCAGTGGCCTCCTGTCTGGGGGCGGCTCAGGCTGAGTCTTGTTCTCTGATAACGGTGCGTTTTCCTGTCCTTGTTGCTTCACTGGACTTGTACGTTTTCTTAGGGTTGTGCTTAGGTTGACCCGCCGGTCAGAGCGCTGCCACCCTCCTTCCTCTCTGCCTTAGAGTCTCCCGTGTTGGAGACACGTCATAGGTATGCTAAGAAAATATCTTGCTTACTTAAGCGTAGTCTCTTCAGTTGTCACACGTGATCTGGGAAGATGCATTTGCTTCTCCCGCAACCTCTGGCGTATGTTTGGCCCCTGACTTTGCTGACCCTGTGCTCAGGCCATGTTAACATCTCACGAGGCCTAGGTTTCCTCCTCCACTGAGAGGTAGAGGGAGGCCCCCTGAGTGTGGTGGTGTGGAGGGGCACAGCGTGGCCTCCGAGGGACGCCTTTCCCAGTGTCGCGGCCCCGCGCTGCACCCGCTGGCGGAGTCCTGGAGCTGCCGCTGGCGCTGGCCGCACTGGGCGAGCTGCCGAAGCGCCCCGGCTTTCTCTTGGCAGGTGGCCATTCCGCATTGGCTTTGCCTTTTTCTCTGCCTTGGTTTCCACTTACAGAGATGAGGGAAGGTGGCTTTTGTGGTTTCCGTGCCTGCGGACGGTGGGACGCCCGAGAGGAGGATGCGTGTTGCTAACCCGACCTTCTTGCTTGCAGGGGACGGGGAGGTGTCACCGCTCGGCCGGTGGGAGTCGCTGTGCCACGAGGGACGGCCACGTCCAGGGCGGTGCTGTCCCCCCGCGGGCCAGTGAGCCGGGGAAGAGGACTTCTCACTCCCAGAGCGAGAGGCGTCCCCCCGACGGGGTACAGACCTCCTCCGCCACCCCCCACTCAAGACACCTACGGAGATTATGTAAGTGAACGTGGGGAGCAGCAGTTTGGGTGGGGGCGGACCCAGCCGGACGGGCCTGGGGTGTGGTGGCCAGGTGCCCCTCCTGACCTGGCCTGCCCAGCAGACACTTACCAGGTGCTGAAAGAAATAGCCTCTCTGAGCGCACAGCTGGAATCCAAGCGGCGTGGGGCGAGTCTGTGGGGAGCCGTCCAAGGCCGGGGCTGGGGGCCGGGCGCTCCGGCTCACATAGCCGCGATGAGATCTTCTTCCATCCTCCGCGCCAGGTCGCCTCTGAGTAATTCAGTCATTTAAAAAATAATTGCATACACATACCAAGCTGTTTTACCCTCAAGTGTTTCCTCTCAAGCACTGCTGCTCGCTATGAATTCTTGGTGGGGATTCTTTTCAGTGAGAAAAAACAAAAGTTTCCAATTTTTTAAAATATTGCTAATCAGTTAGTTTTCCATTTACTGTTCAGTAATTCTTTGATGCAGTTCATGGACTGAACATAAGAGAAAGAAAGAATAACCATGGGAACTAGGTGAGGAGAGGAGAGGAATTCTTAACAAAAGTACCTCGGACTCTTGCTGCAACCTCCCGGCTCTGGAGCACGGCAGGGCTCTGTCTGCCCACCCGCCAGGGATGCCTGGGTTGGCACGGACGCCTCCCTTTATCACTCACACCTGGTAGGCTGCAGGCTGGAGCGCAGTGCATTGCATTTGGCAGGTCAGTCCCAGCTTCACCTTGTGCCGTCAGTGGCAGAATGGGGCTCCCTCTGCTGAGCTGTGTCGAGGCGGAAAAGGGCGTGCTGGCAGGCAGACCCCTTCCTGTGTCCGGCGGCCGCAGCCTGCCCGGCCTTCCCTCAGGTTTGGAGTCACGCAGCTGTGGCTGGAAGACTTGAGGCCATGTCAGGCCCACTGTACCATCCACGGGGGACGGTGCATTCGAGCTCTTTAGCGTTTTGGGCTTCACATCTTTCAGAGAGCGCTAGGCCCCCCCTCCACCATGTGAGCCAGGCCCCTGTGCGCGCTCAGGGTGCATAGGCCGGCGCGTCTGGAATGAAGTCAGAGGAACACAGATGACAATGTCCTGAAGGTTAAAGCCCAGGGGAGGGAGAGACAGTCCAGGCACTTGTTTTATCCTATGTGTAGCTCTGGTTTTTACTGATCAGTGATGGGAGAGGCATTATTCTAAGAGATAAAATATTTGGTTTCTAATGCCACTTCTAGTCATTTCACTGTCTCTTTCTTATGCAAATTATTTCACCTTATTGAGCCTTAATTTCTTCATCAGCCAACTGCTTCACTTAACAGATGAGCAGAGTGGACCAGATGCTGTAACCTCTTTTCCAACTTGAAAAATTCTACAGTGAATTGAGTGTTTTCTGAAACAGACTTGGCTTCCTCTCTAATCCTAAAGATGTTTTTTTCTAATAAGAAAATGGGTTTTGATCAAGAAACTTTGATATTGAAAAGAAAATCACAGCTTAAACAAAGCAACAATTTAATGAGAAGAGTAAGCTGAACGTAAGTGGCTATGAGTGTTTTAATTTCTAAGCTAAAAGTCTTCAAAAATGACATGTTTTTCTGAAATGCAAACTCACCACTTAATGTGGATAAGCTAAAAAACAAAGAATTCCATCATGTTATTTTCTCTCCGCTCTGAGCACAGCAGCCACCTGATAATTCACAGAAGTGGTTGCCGTTCACTGCTATCCCTTTGATGCCTTAATGTCGCGTCATCATCCCAAACCCCCAGGACTGAGCTGATGGCTTAACCTTCCTTAAGCCCGAGCATGCGGCACGTTCTCGGTGCAGTCGTCCAGGCTCATCAGTAGGACGCTCCTTCGGGCACCTGACGTGCTCAGACGATGCAGCCATCAGGTGCAGGTCCAGGCTTGGGCCCGGCTCAGTTACCTGAGTGGATGGCCTCACAGCCCCACCCTCAGGCACTTGGACAGGAGGAGTCATGACCACCGGGTCGAATGTTCTGCTGCCCAGGGACATGCAGTGACCTGTGCAGGTGGAGGCCTGAGAACTGAGTCCTGGTCCAGACTCTCTGACCCTTGAGGCACGATCCCCGCTCATCTAGCTGGGGTGATGTCATGGGCATGAAGAAGTGGAAAATAAACCAGGAGGGAGTCCAGGACTTAGAGCTGTAGCTGCCCTGCCAGCGACTGTACCCCAGCTTCTCTCATCCGGCCCCCCTCACCCTGGCCTCCCTCACCCCAGCCCCTCTAACCCCAGCCCCTCTAATCCTGGCCCCCCTCACTGCAGCCCCCCTCACCCCGGCCTCCCTCACTCCAGCCCCACTCACCCCAGCACCCCTCCCTGCCTCTCCCACCCAGAACCCCCTCATCCCACCTCCTTCACTCCAGCCCCCCTCATTGAGGCCCCCCTCACCCCAATATCCTCACCCAGGCCTCCCTCATCCCGCCTCCCTCATCCCAACTCCCTCACGTGTTCGTGATAGCGGCGTCGATGAAGGCCTTTAGGGAAAACCAAATACATATTTAAAATACACCATTGGTTCTTCAGCTGCTGCTTACAGACCCAGCTAAGAGGTGGCCGCCTCATTTTCTGAGAGCTCACCTGAAGCTTTAATTAAATGACTAGTTTGGGGATTCTAGTCCGGACGAGGGCTCCGCCGACGGCACAGTTTCCCTGTGCAGTGATGACTGGCATTATTTTTTGACAGTTAACTAATCTCTAAACTTCCTCAATTATCTTGTTTTCCACAGTGAGAAATTTAATTAAAACCCAAGTACAGATTGTGAAAAGGTTATTTATGAAAATGCATTTTAAATGTGAATTGAAAAGCCTAGGGATACCTTTTGTATTTTAGATAAAAAGATGAAAGTTCTGTAATTTTTTTACATCCGTTTTACCAGAAGCAAGAAGAAGAGCAGGCGCCAATTTACTTGAAATGTCTATCAGGAGCTTCACACGTCAATCTCGTTCCTAAATTGCTTGAAAAGGTGACCTATTTTAGAAATGGAAAACTTTAGGAAACAATTTTAGATTTTGAATTTATGATTACGGGGAGTGTTGTTTTTTTTTCTTCTTGCTTTAAACAAAAACAATTTTAAAACGCGCTTTTTACTAAGGAAGCAGGGAGCTCGAAATGACAAGGTCCATAGACACAGAAGGCGAGTTTACCTCCGTAACCAGAGGTCACTCCGGGGGGCCCGGCCCCCAGCAGGGCCAGGGTTCAGGCAGGAGGTTGCTGAGACGCCATCCTGAGGTCAGGGACTCCCCGTGCTCCTGGAGCATTTCTGCGGCATCACAGGACTCGACCCTGGCCTTGGGGTGACGGGCATGTGGGGGCAGCAACGGCACCCCACCTGAGTCCTCCCCTAGCTCCCGCGTGCTCAGGTGTGTCTCCGGTGGTGACTGTTGTTTGGGCCCTGCTTGTACACCCGATTTAGGATGCCCGTCTCTGGGCGGTGTGCTCGCTCCTTTGTTTGTCTTGCTCTTTCACATTTTAAGTTACTGCTGGTAACTAAGGGCCCTGCCTGGTTATCCACCAGACCCAGCCCAGAGTAACTGCTCGGTGTTTGATTTCTTGATACAGAAACAAAACAGTCACCCGTCCAGAGTTAGAACGCCTGTCCTTGGCTTAGGACAAGGTACTTAGGGAGGACCTACGTGGGGAGCTGGCACTGCTTGTGGGACTGTGGAGACACTGTCCAGGGAGGACATTCAAAGCCAACAGGAGCCGGAGGTCCGTGCTCCGCGGGGAGAGCTGAAGGGCTCGGAGCAGACCGCACGTGGGGTGGGGCCCGCAGGCCTGCGCTGGGAGGGCGGCTGGAGCTGCCGCTCCTGGTGGTGGTGTGTTGGCGAGGCCCGTTGCCAGCGTCTCCTCATAGCTTTCCTCTCGCTGGCCTGCGTGCAGGCAGAGTAGTGTGCACGTGCAGAACAGGCCGAGGAATCTTGAAGATATTCCAGGGTTAATGCAGTTTGATGGAAAACCACGTTGTCGAGTCGGGTGGCATCCGTGAGAGGCCCTCCGGCCCTCTGGGCGCCCTCCAGTGCGGGCTGTCCCGGGAGGTCACTACAGCAGGGCCCCGACCTTGCATATCCCCTGGTCAAAGCCGGGCAGGAGTCTGCCTGCTGCGGGCTGCGCTGCCCACAACCGTAGGTGAGGGGCTGCGCCGTGTCCCTGGCCTGCGCGTGGGAACACCGGCACTTAGTGCATGAGGTGGTCGTGAAGATCAGCTGCAGCAGCGAGCGCAAGGCTCCGGAGGCAGTGCCCGCCCGCTGCAGAAGGTGATTTGTACGCGCTTCTGTTGTTCCTGACTTGAAATCGTCTTCAGCCTCTCAGCTTCACTTTCTCGGGGCAGAGTCTTGGGAACCGTGTCCCAAATGTTAAAATGTGAAGAGTGGTATTTGCAATGATATTTACTCCCACCTGATGAAAATGGAAATGATAACTTGGGGAATTTGGGTTAGCTCAATGGGGCACGGTCAGGATCGTCATCTGCACTGGCGGAAGCGTTCAGTTAGCACAAGCTCCCGGCTTCGCGGGGCAAAGCTGAACGGCCTCCCCCAGGTCAGCGGTTCTGCGCCTGGGATGCGCAGTGGGACGCTGGCTTAGGGGCTCCGTGGGCAATACCCAGCAAGAAGCGAGACTCCAGGCCCATGGCAGGGTGGACAGGCAAGCTGTGGTCACACAGCCCTGGCCCTCCAAGCAGCCAAGGGAGCCCCCGCTGCAGACACGCGTGCAGCGTCTCGAGGACGCAGTATTGCTGCGACAAGGACAGCAGCAGCTGGCCCGGGGGTGTGGGATGCAGGGACGGGGTTACACAGGGGGAGAGAGTAACTGAGCGTGTGTGTGGGGCGCTGGATGTGCGCCCTGGCCCCAGAGCTGTGCTCTCCCAGGGCAGACGCACCGAGGTACCTCAGGGTGTGAGCCTTTTTATGACTTAGTTTGTGCCTGACTAAATGGTCACTTTACTACCCTTTCCCCAACTTTGTGGGGTTTCTGATTTGTTTTCACTTTCCTTACTTTCCATTTATGCT